TTTTACATTCCACGTCACGCACGTTACGTTTTTTGTCTGATTTCTTTCATTTTCCCTTTGAAGTTAAGACGCTACATTCTGATCGCGAAAGTATTTAAAATTAAAATAAAGAAAGTACCTGACTCCTGTATGGAGATGTGGATGCAAGTCTATTAATTTAGAGAGAAATGGCATGTTTATAGTTTATATAAAACAGCCTAGACCATTTGAGTATTAGTATACTCAAATATTGTTGATTGACAAATTACGTTTATTATCACCAGCGTTTAATCCAATTTAATTTTTTAGCTTAAGCTTCGTTTAAGTCGACCTTCCTTCCACGTCAATCCTGAGGAAAACCATTACATCAGCTCTTGAATTCTTGCAAATAAGTCAACTTACTTTGAGGTATAACGTATAGCTTGAGCCAAGCCTAAAAGCGGAGCTCGCAGTTTTTTTCCCCTCACTTCTCGTTAGAAAAATAAAGCCCCTATTATGGAAAAAGAGCGCATTTTAATACATTTTAATCCGCAACTTCTCTGTCTCCGTGTAGAGAACTGATTCTATTGTAAACGCCATAGGGTTGCATTTTTAAGTCGATACGCAGTTTTTAGGGGTCTCCATAAAATAGCTTGTAGCGAGAAGTCGAAATTTTTCAAAAACAGGAACGAAAATTGTGCAAACAGTTAAAAAGTCTTCCTAACAATATGCAACCAGAAAAAGGAAGAACACTTTTAACATTGGGCACGTCCGGTCACTTACGATATTACGATATTTTCAAAGTATGTGAAACAGCAGATCCCTACTTCTCAAAACAGTGCTAGTACCCATAAAGGAGAGTCCCCAATAGGCTCAGAAACTTACTAAGCAATTGGATTAAACGAGACACTTCTTGTGAAAACAGAGATAAAGGGGCAAAATAGGACTGCGAAATTGAAACGGGGGATGTTGCTCTCTAACAATTGCCAGGTAAGATTTTCGCGCCGAATGAAGGAAATACTGGGCAGTATCTATTTTCCCGCTATCTCTTATCGTGATAAAAGGTGAGTGGTGCACTCAAACGCTCTCATTCCATACAGCTATTTAGAAGAAGGTGAGTAAAAAAATTAAAGAAAATTAAAACATCTCTCCGTGAGCGCGCAGCGTCATAACTTATCTTCTTAAGGGAGACTCTGGCGCTCAAACAGACAAAAGAACGGATTACGGCGTTTAGAAAAATGTGTACCGTTGAACCCGCCGCTAGTATCTAAAAATTTAAGTGAATGGTATCTTGACCATGAAACGCTTGTGTACAAGTAGAAAATGGAAATTCAATTCGAATCTACCGCGATCTCCGAATCGATCGTTTAACCCTCCTAAAACAAAGTCAAGTTAATAGCTAATGCAGATCATAGCTACTGGAAAACCACGTCATGGAGCACTACGGATTTCTTAAGATATCAGCGTGAGACAGTCCACACCATGAAGGCCATGACCCCGAGCCAAATATTTTTCCGTCCGGCGTTACCACTCAATCAATAATAAAGTAACAGTATTTCGGTTTTATACGTCACACTTTTTATCACTCATGATGTAATTGAACATAAGAAATGAAAGTGTTAGTCTCTTTTCAACAGGAAATTTCAGGCTTACCCCTTTGAAAGGTTTTGATTTTCATCACAAGATCGATCACAGTAAAACCAAAGTTGCTTTTTTTAAGGTAAGCTATCTTTGCGTAATAATCGACTCCTTGTCTTCGTGAACATTTCATTTTCCAGTGGGTGTGATTTGAATGATCGAAGACAAAACTACTAAAAAAACCAAGTGACTGTTTTTCGGTTTGGCACGTCACACTTTTAGTCATGATGGTTATGGGATAATTGAGATGGTTCACACGCTCTCATAGGTCAACTAGTTAGTTTAGATGAGAGTATGTAAACACAGCTTGTTTGGACTTCACACTTTTAATGTTTGCCGGCACAAAACATTTCAAACTCTGAGTTTTCCCAATACTCGCAAAGTAATTCCAAGTGTAAGTGATAAATATCGGAATTGGAGAAAAATTTGCCGAGTTTTGATCTGGGGTTTGGCTACCGTCCCCCTTCCCCAGTGAGGAACAAGAAGGAGGAAAAAGAGGAATTAGCGCTTTGCCTACCTTGATGATCATGAGCTGTACGGCCTTGTCGAGAGAGTTCAAGTACAGACGACAAATATGCAACAAATTGCGCAATAAACATCGAAATGTAAGGAAACAAGGAAAAATTTTGGAAAAACATTTGGAAAAATCATTCTATGCGCCCTACTTTCAAAGAAACACTTGGAAAACTATATATCACTGAAAAGCTTATGAAATATAAAAGAAACGTTTTAAAAGTTTCTTTTTTTCCCAGCTGTTGCGGCAAACGAACATCAAGGCTCGATGAAGTGCCAAGAAAATCGCGACCGGAGAAAATGCCAACCAAACTAGGGGATATGTTACAGAGACATAACTTTAATCAATCTCGTAAACTGTAAGCGAATTTAAAAAGGGGACTTATATAATAGATTGTATTCAATTAAACACGTGGCGACTTAACAGCGTAAATTAATCTAACATAATAAAGGAACTAAGAAATGAACCAAGAGCTACGGCAAACACAAGATATATATACAAATAAAGACGAAAGAGCTTGCTCGAAACGAGATAAACAACAAAACAAGCGAAAACAACTTACATATCAGTCCCTATACGCCGGTGGCTTGAAATCAAACTTTATAAATTAACTTTGGATGAACACCGAACATGAACAGGCGATTAATGAAAGCGGGAGAGAAAGACTATCTGAAGGAATCAAATGGCACAAAGGCCAACTGTAACACAAATGTCACGCAAATTTAAAAGTCACGCATTTACATAAGCAAATTTAGTTTCAATGTTTTCTCTAAATAAGGGGTAAATGAAACGAAAATTGCTGCTTAAATACATTGATCTTTCACATGGAAATGTTTATAGGAAAAGCATTTATGTAACAAAACAAAGGTGTTAAGGCTGTAAAGCTGAACAATAATGAGCCACTTTCACCTTCGTGTTGTCATACCTCACGCACTTTTGGTCAATCTTGATTGTAACAGACGACACGCAAGCTATGTGCAATAAGCTGTAATATTTCCACGCATAAACGATCTGCATGGAAAAGTGCAGAACAAGTAAGAACCAGATCAGTGCTGGTAATTACCTCCATACTACCGTAATTATTCGGTTATAAGGCGCACTCGGCTATAAGACGCACCCCCAATTCGGCAACTTCATTATTGCATGTTTTCAAACTGAAAATATCGCTAAAATACTTGGTTATAAGGCGCACCGATGTTCGGGGAGTAAAGATCGGTCAAGTTTATTGTAAATTCTTTCATAAACTTACAAAAAGCGAAAAAGTCGCGTATTGATTTTAGTTTACCGTTAATTAACAAAAGCAGAATTGTCGCACACGCGACCACGCGCACAAACAAAAGCTTGATTAAACAAAAGCAAAATGTCACACACCTAAACAAAAGCCGAAAAATGTCACACATTTAATCACAGTGATAAACAAAAGGCAAAAAAAGTCACATTTAATGACAACCTATCGGTACATATTAATTTTTAGCATTCCCTCTCGGGAAACATGGTTCTAAAGTATAAAAACAATTCGATCAACAAAATTAGTAGTCGCAATTTACTTCACCTGGTGAACATTATCTTGCGAAGTCTACATTCAGCACAATCATGCCAAACACTCGCCGTCATTCTTACAATCTCAACTTCAAGTTAAAAATCGTAGTTGAAGCTGAAGCTGTTAACAACAATCGAGAGATAGCGAGGGAATACGGAAATTGTGTCAGTGGTTCGGAAGTGGCGCAATCAGTTATCAAAGGAGCCAAGGTAAACCGCCATAGTCACGATCTAAACCTCCTCCCAAAAACATTCAAAAGGATGTTTTCAATGCGCTTATAGCTCTCAAAAAGGACCCGGACAGGCTCGTATTATCTCAGTGCTGCTGTCGATCTAATTCACCCTTGAGCGTGAAAAGGATAGACATTTGCCCTTTCTTGATTTAAATGTGTCCAGAGGGGTTCAGGGTAATTTAGAGACAAGTGTCTACCGTAAACCTACCCACGCCGACAAATATCTCGCCTTCGATTCTCATCACCCAGCGACTGGTTTACCTGTTATTCCTTACATACAGGGTGTTACGGAACCCATCAAGAGAATTTTGAATAGCCACAACGTTAAAGTTGCTCAAAAACCTTTTCAGACTTCAGTTCGTATGCATTGGCGATACGCATGTTTTGAATTAAAAACATACTTTAGTACGCACTGGAACGTATACTATTATGCATTTCTACTAGAACGTTAAGGACGTAACTGCCAAAAACCAGTTACAAATAGTAAACCTTTTCAGACTTCAGTTAGTATGCATTGGCAATACGCATGTTTTGAATTAAAAACATACTTTAGTACGCACTGGAACGTATACTCTTATGTATTTCTACTAGAACGTTAAGTACGTAACTGCCAAAAACCAGTTACAAATAGTAACGTACTTGATGAAAGGGAACAAGCGACTTGTTTTGCTGTTATTCCTTACATACAGGGAGTTACGAATCAACTTATTCTACAACAGATGAACTCTTTGTTCCAAGACAGGATTACTTCCATATTCAGAGATCTAACTCATAACCAATTGGCAGAGATTTTTCTGCATTTAAGCGTCGACAAGCTTCGCGCAGGGTGGTATCCTCTTTCCCCTCTTTTAGTCGTATTTTTAAGCTCTGTACGATTTTTTTAAATGTGAAGTGCTTCGGATTTATTTTTAGGGTGCGCAACGCTTCTCCTTTTGCGAATCCTATCTTAACGCCACGTAAAAAGTGTTTACGGGCTGTTTATATCAGAATATAATTTTTGCGTGAAAAACAAAAATTCATTGAGTACATAACCAGTACCTCCTCCTGAGAATATTGGAAAAGAAAGCACAAAAAATTGGAATAAATCTCCCCTAACCTGGGATAGCTGTTTTTTTAATGTCAATGAAATACTGGATAGAGTATTTTCTCTTCTTGTTTCTATTTAATTTATCCATCTAAAAGTCTTTTTGCTCTGTTCCCTTCGAGTTCTTGTCATTATTTACTCTGTCGGGTCTTTCTTCCTGTAAGAAAAAATTTTAAATAACCCAATTTATTATTACCTCAATTAATATTGTGGATATAAAGCAAATACCATTATACCAAGCACAATATGTAAACATAAATGGCTATTACTTGTATCTCATTGGTAGAGAGGCACCTGTGAGATTCTATATTTTACACTAGAGAGCGAAGATAGTAACTCACCAAAAAGGAAAAAAAAGTGTGTGTAGATATACATATATATATCTTTATCTATATATAGATAGATAGATAGATAAAGATAAAGATATACATTAAACTAGCCTGATGCTCAAGGTAACAAAGGATCCCCATCCAGTCAACGACCAATAAGTCATAGCGATCTTCACATCTAATTTAACTTTAATTTATGAAATACCTGTTCTCACTGAGTCTTGCCGCTGCTTGTCAAACTCGAGTCTCACATCATCTCCAATCAGCGTAAACGACGCCCACTCAGACATTTTGTTCAAGCCGTTTTTTCTCATCCACTTCATGGCCTGATGAAGGGATTCACTGGCACTTTCTCCTTCAATGAGGTGTTCGTAGAACCGACCCATCAGCTTCTCTGTAGCTGAGTCTGGAATGGCCCACAGCGCTACCAATACAGAGCGAGCACCAGATCCTAAGAACGCACGGGCAATTCCTATAACTCCTTCGGCTCTTATCTCTCCACTTCCACTGTGACAGCAGCTAAGTACCACCAGTTTAGCTCTGACTTTCACTCGTGAGACATCAGCCATCGTCAACATGTAAGCTTCCTGCGGTGGGATAGCGTTTCCACTGTTGGGAGTAGGAATGGGGGAGAGTGCAATTTCTCCTCTTTCCGCATTACCATGGGCAGCAAAGTGTATCAAGCTCACTGAACTTATCCGCCCAAGTACCGCCTGCTTCGTTGCTTTCTCTTCAACTAGAGGTGGAACACCCACCAGTCGTCCGACCATCTCCGCTTCTTTTCTTGCACCTGGCAATGGTTGCAGCCCATCAACCTTGGGATTGCCTATAATCAAGGCACCAGTGTTGCTGTGATAGTCCTCTGGACTATCTTGGATGATCTTTAGCGTTGTCAAAGAAGGAATGACACGGATCCTATGAGTCTCCGATAGGTATTCGGCTCCCTCCTTTTCACTCAGGGCAGCAAAAGGAACTTTGTACAACCTGCGGTCAGGAACAATAATGACTTCAGGCTCCTCAAGAAAATCATTAACGGGAGCAATAAACATTTTGTAACACAAAGAAAGACTTAAAATCACTTTCTCGTCCTCGTCCTCGTCCTCGTCCTCCTCCATGAGTCGCAATCTTGCTGAGCTCTTTTGTGCGGGGAAGAGAGGTTGCACTTTAATCGTATTTAAAGACCGATCTTCACAATCTTTAGTAGGCAAAATACCAAGACTCCGGAAATTATCATCCAAAAATTGACTCAAAGACAAATCTTTAGGCAACCCGGCCTGAACTAGATTCTCTTCTGGTGATACTCTTCTATAGTGAAGGACTCCACTTGTTTTCAAGATCCACAAATGCAGACGATTCTGAAAATAAGAAATGTACAGACAAGTACAGTTATTTTTCTTTCTTAAAATGTTCTCAATGCCAACCCAAGATTGTGGATTAGCAGAGATGTGCGTTTCAACCGAGTACTTCTCTGCCATTAAGTCTGATAGGCCTCTAGCTCGACCCAACTCCTCAACATAAAGAGCATCCCGAGCATTTCCGGTGTCACAAAGCAAAGTACAAAGCAGCTTGTAGGGGAACATTCCTGTGTGCTCCAAAAATGATGTTTTGAACTGATCATTGGCACCCAAGAAATATCTCAGCTCCTCATACTTTTCAATGCACAGATGAAGATACAACAAGGAGTCTTTGATTTTATATTGATATAAATACAAAACGGCGTAGCCTAGAAGGATATCAAACTCTTTTCTTCCATCTCCAATATCTCTAAATATCAATAAAGCTTTCTCCAAGCATACTTCCGAAGCTTCAAAATCACCAACAGTTCTAAACACAATTCCAAGGTTTCCGTAGTCAGTTGCCTCCCCTTCTCTGTGGCCAATTTCAGTTCTGATGACAAGCGCTTTTTGGAGATACTCTTCAGCCTTGTCGTATTGGCCAAGCGACCCAAACACAGTACCTAGGTTTCCATAACATGATGCTTCCCCTCCTCTGTCGCCAATTTCAGTTCTGATGACAAGCGCTTTTTGGAGATACTCTTCAGCCTTGTCATATTGGCCAAGCGACTCAAACACAGTACCTAGGTTTCCATAACATGATGCTTCCCCTCTTCTGTTGCCAATTTCAGTTCTGATGACAAGCGCTTTTTGGAGATATTCTTCAGCCTTGTCGTACTGGCCAAGCGACTTAAACACAGTACCTAGGTTTCCGTAGTCAGTTGCCTCCCCTTCTCTGTCGCCAATTTCAGTTGTGATGACAAGCGCTTTTTGGAGATACTCTTCAGCCTTGTCGTATTGGCCAAGCGACTTAAACACAGTACCTAGGTTTCCATAACATGATGCCTCCCCTCCTCTGTCGCCAATTTCAGTTCTGATGACAAGCGCTTTTTGGAGATATTCTTCAGCCTTGTAATATTGGCCAAGCGACCCAAACACAGTACCTAGGTTTCCATAACATGATGCTTCCCCTCCTCTGTCGCCAATTTCAATTGTGATGACAAGCGCTTTTTGGAGATATTCTTCAGCCTTGTCGTATTGGCCAAGCGACTTAAACACAGTACCTAGGTTTCCATAAGATGATGCTTCCCCTCCTTTCAGTTCTGATGACAAGCGCTTTTTGTCGCCTTTGGCCGGCGAATTAAACACAGACCCAAACACAGTACCTAGGTTTCAGCTCCGATGACAAGCGCTTTTTGGAGATATTCTTCAGCCTTGTCGTATTGGCCAAGCGACCCAAACACAGTACCTAGGTTTCCATAACATGATGCTTCCCCTCCTCTGTCGCCAATTTCAATTGAGATGACAAGCGCTTTTTGGAGATACTCTTCAGCCTTGTCGTATTGGCCAAGCGACTTAAACACAGTACCTAGGTTTCCATAACATGATGCCTCCCCTCCTCTGTCGCCAATTTCAGTTCCGATGACAAGCGCTTTTTGGAGATATTCTTCAGCCTTGTCGTATTGGCCAAGCGACTTAAACACAGTACCTAGGTTTCCATAACATGATGCTTCCCCTCCTCTGTCCCCAGTCTCAGTCTTGATGACAAGCGCTTTTTGGAGATACTCTTTAGCCTTGTCGTATTGGCCAAGCGACTTAAACACAGTACCTAGGTTTCCATAACATGATGCCTCCCCTCCTCTGTCGCCAATTTCAGTTCTGATGACAAGAGCTTTTTGGAGATACTCTTCAGCCTTGTCGTATTGGCCAAGCGACTTAAACACAGTACCTAGGTTTCCATAAGATGATGCTTCCCCTCCTCTGTCGCCAATTTCGGTTCTGATGACAAGCGCTTTTTGGTGATATTTTTTAGCCTTGTCGTATTGGCCAAGCGACTTAAACACAGTGCCTAGGTTTCCATAACATGATGCCTCCCCTCCTCTGTCGCCAATTTCAGTTCTGATGACAAGCGCTTTTTGGAGATACTCTTCAGCCTTGTCGTATTGGCCAAGCGAATTAAACACAGTACCTAGGTTTCCATAAGATGATGCTTCCCCTCCTCTGTCGCCAATTTCGGTTCTGATGACAAGCGCTTTTTGGTGATATTCTTTAGCCTTGTCGTATTGGCCAAGCGACTTAAACACAGTACCTAGGTTTCCATAACATGATGCTTCCCCTCCTCTGTCGCCAATCTCAGTCATGATGACAAGCGCTTTTTGGAGTTGCCTCCCCTTCTCTGTCGCCAATTTCGGTTCTGATGACAAGTGCTTTTTGGAGATACTCTTTAGCCTTGTCGTATTGGCCAAGCGACTTAAACACAGTACCTAGCTTTCCATAACATGATGCCTCCCCTCCTCTGTCGCCAATTTCAGTTGTGATGACAAGCGCTTTTTGGAGATATTCATCAGCCTTGTTGTATAGGCCAAGCGACTCAAACACAGTACCTAGGTTTCCATAACACGATGCTTCCCCTCCTCTGTCGCCAATCTCAGTCTTGATGACAAGCGCTTTTTGGAGATATTCTTCAGCCTTGTCGTATTGGCCAAGCGAATGAAACACAGTACCTAGGTTTCCGTAGTCAGTTGCCTCCCCTTCTCTGTCGCCAATCTCAGTCTTGATGACAAGCGCTTTTTGGAGATATTCTTCAGCCTTGTCGTATTGGCCAAGCGAATGAAACACAGTACCTAGGTTTCCGTAGTCAGTTGCCTCCCCTTCTCTGTCGCCAATTTCAGTTCTGATGACAAGCGCTTTTTGGTGATATTCTTCAGCCTTGTCGTATTGGCCAAGCGACCCAAACACAGTACCTAGGTTTCCATAACATGATGCTTCCCCTCCTCTGTCGCCAATCTCAGTCTTGATGACAAGCGCTTTTTGGAGATATTCTTCAGCCTTGTCGTATTGGCCAAGCGACTTAAACACAGTACCTAGGTTTCCGTAGTCAGTTGCCTCCCCTTCTCTGTCGCCAATTTCAGTTGTGATGACAAGCGCTTTTTGGTGATATTCTTCAGCCTTGTCGTATTGGCCAAGCGACCCAAACACAGTACCTAGGTTTCCATAAGATGATGCTTCCCCTCCTCTGTCGCCAATTTCAGTTGTGATGACAAGCGCTTTTTGGAGATACTCTTCAGCCTTGTCGTATTGGCCAAGCGACTTAAACACAGTACCTAGGTTTCCATAACATGATGCTTCCTCTTCTCTGTGGCCAATTTCAGTTGTGATGACAAGCGCTTTCTGGAGATACTCTTCAGCCTTGTCGTATTGGCCAAGCGACTTAAACACAGTACCTAAGTTTCCATAACATGATGCTTCCCCTCCTCTGTCCCCAGTCTCAGTCTTGATGACAAGCGCTTTTTGGAGATACTCTTTAGCCTTGTCGTATTGGCCAAGCGACCCAAACACAGTACCTGGGTTTCCATAACATGATGCCTCCCCTCCTCTGTCGCCAATTTCAGTTCTGAGGACAAGCGCTTTTTGAAGATACTGTTCAGCCTTGTCATATTGGCCAAGCGACTCAAACACAGTACCTAGGTTTCCATAAGATGATGCTTCCCCTCCTCTGTCGCCAATTTCGGTTCTGATGACAAGCGCTTTTTGGTGATATTCTTTAGCCTTGTCGTATTGGCCAAGCGACTTAAACACAGTGCCTAGGTTTCCATAACATGATGCCTCCCCTCCTCTGTCGCCAATTTCAGTTGTGATGACAAGCGCTTTCTGGAGATACTCTTCAGCCTTGTCGTATTGGCCAAGCGACTTAAACACAGTACCTAGGTTTCCATAACATGATGCTTCCCCTCCTCTGTCGCCAATTTCAGTTGTGATGACAAGCGCTTTTTGGAGATACTCTTCAGCCTTGTAGTATTGGCCAAGTGACTTAGACACAGTACCTAGGTTTCCATAAGATGATGCTTCCCCTCCTCTGTCGCTGATTTCGGTTCTGATGACAAGCGCTTTTTGGTGATATTCTTTAGCCTTGTCGTATTGGCCAAGCGACTTAAACACAGTACCTAGGTTTCCATAACATGATGCTTCCTCTTCTCTGTGGCCAATTTCAGTTCTGATGACAAGCGCTTTCTGGAGATACTCTTCAGCCTTGTCGTATTGGCCAAGCGACTCAAACACAGTACCTAAGTTTCCATAACATGATGCTTCTCTGCTTCTGTGGCCAATTTTGGTTGTTATGGCAAGGGCCTTCTCAAGTTATTCCTTTCCTTTTAGGCTCTCGCCAAGTTTATAAAGCACAATTCCATACTCTCTGTATAAGTCAAACAGTTTCCTTCCGTATCTTTCCGCACTTATGTAGTCAGAGATATGACGATAAGCGCTGAAAAGAACGGTATAGATGTCGCTGTAAAATTGTAGCAGTGCTGAATCAAATTGGTCTTTGCTGTTTTGATCGGTGCCATTTAGCAAAATCAAACATTCGCTGCATATCTCAATGGCTTTCTGAATGCGATCTGAGTTGAGCAAGAACAGGGCAACAAATAAGGCGATGCTCATGAAAGGTGTCATGGCCTCTGCTGTTAGGTTTCCATTGCAATCCTCTCCTGTTATCAGGGAAACATTATTTTTAGTAACACAATACTAAATGGTCGATAATCTGGATTAATAACGAGTCACTTCAAACAGGAACACACATGTTAAGTTACAAAAACGGGCTGGGTCGATTACACCCGGAAAGTATTTGTAACAAGCTGAAAGTGTTAGAATTCCCAATATCCACTTAAAAACAAAAAAAAAAGTGAAGAAGTCGGTTGGTCACCTTTCAAAAAAATAAATTTCTAAGAGTTTTTGTCGTAATATTCAGTTTTTTCTATCTTTGTTCACATTTTACTTAAGTGATAGACAGTTGTGCCTGACTTAAACTACATTCATATTTGAAAATCATTTGATATCAAGCTTAGAGGTCGTTTCAAAAAGTTTCATTGTTACTAAGAATTTGTAACAGGATTTGTGATCGAACTAAAAATAAAATATAAGTTCTAGTTTCCCCAGTCTTAGTTTATTGATTTTGTTATACCGGCTGTCAAAAGGTATTTGCAATACAGAGAATTTACTAAGAATTTGTAACAGGATTTGTGATCGAACTAAAAATAAAATATAAGTTCTAGTTTCCCCAGTCTTAGTTTATTGATTTTGTTATACCGGCTGTCAAAAGGTATTTGCAATACAGAGCCTTGGAATCACTGAATTTTATTTCTTATTCATGAATAATACAAGAATGATTAATGAGAAAATTGCTCTAGTTTTCTTGAGAACTATTCGACAGTTTAAATAATGTACCGTCCAAAGTGTTTGTACTGGAAATTCTCTCGCTCGATTTTATTGAAACATCGTTCTTTTGGTTCATTACCGTTTTGTTAAAGTGCAAAAGAGATAGTCACAGATGTAAGTTAGTGATAATTTTACTTTGAGTACTGATTCCGAGTTAGCATTCCCCGACTTTTAAGCGTTTAAATTTTTAGCCTGAAATAAGACAGATAAACCTCTAAATACAGTTTACTTGGAACTTTCCTGACATTCCACAATATTTAAAAATTGCAAAGATTGTTCATTTTAAAAGCAACGAGCGCATTTATCAGATGAATGTCCCTGAAAACGAATATTCTTTTAGCAGATGAGGATCATTAATAAGATGCGAGACCACAAAGGTTTGATATGATCGCCTTATAACAAATTCATTTAACTTCGGTGGCGAATTTTACACAACGTTACAGTACTTTAAAGTGACAGGACAAATATTAACCGGGAAAACAGGACTGATTCATTCCAGGCTTTGCCATTAATTAAAACGTTACTCATGCAAAATTACTCTAAATAACAATATTCTAGTGCTATTTACTTGGTACATGACAGAATGCTGGATATCTTTTTACTTGTTCTTACCAAGTTGTCGACTTCGAGGTTCATGCTTTTGAAAGTGAAACGACAGAAAATACTTAAATGAAAGACAGTTGTGACTTTTCCTTATTTTCCAAAACCTCCGCCTCTTGACTTACCTTAACCGCGACTATTTTGTGATTCAGGTAAGAACACAAACTTTGCAAATCAATGATTTTTCATCGCGAGTATTCAAAGAAGCAAGCAAGGAATGTTATCAGTATAATATGTAGTTTCCCTTTTCTTAGTTTTTCGTTTTTTTTCTTTTATTTCGATCGCCAAAACGTTTATGTAATGAGACTCCTTAGGATCAAGCATCCTAATTTCTTGTTCATGAATAATACAAAATCGTTGTTTGTATTTTGACTCACCTTACGAGCTCGTCAAATACGGACACAACTCGTAAAAATACTCAGCGACACTACACACCAAAACCTCCAATAAGTTAGTTATTATCCAATTGCTTTTTTTTTCCGCTGAGTCTTTCAGCTCATTCCTCATAAGGCGGGAAAAGCAAAGCGGAGAGAGAAGCGTATTGTGCGCAGCCGACTGGTTAGCCTGGTTTTTTTTTCAGTACAAAATAACCAACGGTCCAAATACACGTATAATATCGTAGGATGTTTATACTCTATTCGCGCGTTATTTGTTCTCTACTTTGTGCAGTTGGATAATAAACCTCAGTACTACAGCGTTCTGGAAACTTTCCGGACATTCTGCAATATGGCAACATTTGAAAGGATTGTTCTGACAGTTTATTACTTAGAAATGAGCTTACTTATCATGCCAGTGTCGCTAAAGTCAAACCTTTTCATAGTTCATAAGGATGATTGGTAAGATGTGAAGCCATAAAGGTTTAACGAAGTCGCTTTGAAACAAATAAATTTCACTTTGGCTGCGATTTTTGAATGACATTACATAACTTGATAGGCACAGGACAAATATTAACAAAACAGCATTCATTTTAGGCTTTGCCATCAAAACGTTCCCCATGCAAAGTTACTCAAAATAACAGTAGACTATTACTAATTCATTTGTAGACGATAGAAAGCTGTATACCTTGTATTTAACATGTCTAGTCGTACTCACCAAGTTGTTGACTTCGTATCGGATGCTTCTGAAAGTGAAAGGACAAAAACAATGAAACACAATCGGGACTTTCCCTACATTCCAAAACATCCGCAGTTGAACAACAATTACCGTGATTTAAATACATGACTTTCATATATTCACAGTCGTTTAATTACCGTTACTGTTTTGCTATTCAGATGAGAACACAAACGTTCATAACATCCTGAGGGTACATTTTTTAGATGTTAAAACCATTCTTCACGATTCTTTTTTTTTAAACACCTAAAATCATTTGTTAGTAAACCTTTAGCTGACAGTTTGATATAAATCTAATTCACAAAAGTTTGCGTGATGGCCGGCATGTTAACTTTGCCTTTGAATGATCAATTTCCTTTAGTTCCTTACAGAGAATTATAACATCTTTCTAAGTGAGCACGCGGTGTCAGATATTGACCTCTCTTCTATCAGTTTCCCAAATTATACAATGTTTAACAATCTTAGCTGATGAGGTTGAAATATACCGTATGAAGCCATAAAGGTTTGAAGAAAGCAATTAACCGGTGGAGATACGAAGCATCCGTTCAACGGAAAAGTACGCTAAAACTATATATGCAATAACAGTAAATTTAAGAAAGTTTCAGTTTTTCTAAGAAAATTAAAACATCTCTCTTCGTGAGCGCGCAGCGTCACGACTTATCTTCTTATGCCAGACTCTGGCGCTTTAACAGACAACGAAACAGATTACGGCCTTAAGAAAATTATATACCGTGGAACCCGTCGCTGGTGTCCAAAGATTTAAGTGAAGGGTATCTCGACCATGAAACGCTTGTGTACAAGAAGATAACGGAAATTCAATTCGAATCTACCGCGATCTCTGAATCGTTCGTTGAACCCTCCAAAAACCAAAGTCAAGTTAATAGCTAATGTAGATCATAGCCACTGGAAACCACGTAATGAAGCACCACGGATTTCCTATGATATCAGCGAGGGACAGTCCACAACATAAATAGAGGTCTGAATATCAATTTCTCAAATTGAACGATACTCAATAACCTTAGTTAATGAGGGTAGATTATACGGTATAAAGCCACAGACATTTGAAATAGTCGCCTTAGAAAGGATCACAGAGGTGGCGATTCAATCGCGTCATCAACCGCTTTAATAAAGGGCTGACGCTCGAAACGTGACACAACTATATATTGCAAACATGCCACAGATCATAGCAGGTACTCTTTTCAATTTTTTTCCCTGGAATGACCTTTAAACTTAACGCTTGTTTATTCTATTTTTATTTTATCTTTTTTCAGTTACTTGGGTGGTGGAAGGTTCTATCTAGAGGCTGTCGTGATTGCTAACCCATCTATACCAGCATACAGGTACACAAAGAGAACTTCAAAAGACAGATTTCTTTACGTGTAACAAATTTCCTTGCCTGGCCTTGCTTAACAAGTAGCTTCATATTGACTCAATTGGTTGCAGTGCTCAACAGTTAAAGAGGCAGCACAGATTCAGCCGTCATTGAAGCCTGATTTTTTTAGACCACTTTCTTGTAATTCTGTAAATAAAAATTCATCACTTTTTCGATTACAAAACTGTTTGTCTTTAGTAAAAGCATACTGTCTGTGTGGACAGAGTGCGATTCCCGTCTGTTCCAGAGTTTTCCGTATGCCCTCACTAAGACAGATCTCCTTCGCCTTGTACGCTTTGGACTGTTAGATATTGCATACCTTGCTAGGCCTTTGAGACAAACAACTTTGAACTAAAATTCTCCTGTACTTTCGCTTTCATCGCAGATACGATCCCTATAGCAAAGTGTTTTCCAGGGAATATTACGATATTGATGCCATGTTTCAAGCGAGGAAAGACGCCATAACTACAGCGCCAAGAGCTAAGAAATTTAGACTCATTCTAAGTACGTTAGGAGGCAAGGAAGTTCAAAGGTGCTAGTGGTATTGTATACAGTTAAAATGTGAAAACTTTATAAGTAAATATACTTTTTGAACTGGTTATTATTGATATTATCATCTTTTCCAAATAGTTCATAAAGCAGATTTCATTGATCCTTTCGTCTTTCACTTTTATCTGCAGAATTTAGGACAAAGATTCAGTACGGCAGGCCTGGAATATGTATTTGTGCTCATGTCTGAAATATTTCCGCGAGGACGTGGAAACGTAAGTTGGCGCTTTTCTTGTTAAGATGTGAAAACTGCTTTCCGTCGATAAGATAAGATAAGATAAGAACCGTCACAGGAGATGAGAAGTAATTATACTAGAAAAATCTTGCCTTAATTTGGCCATACAAGTCATTTAAATAATGAAAAAGTTGTTTATTGATTAACTTGTCAAATACAGCGATACACTAAAATAAATGGAAAGTGCTGATGTTCTTAAATATAAATGTTTAAAATATGAACCTTTCCTTTACAGGTCAATAAATGCAAAACCTACATAATTTATATATTTCTCAACATTCGATAATTTAGAATGACTAATTTTTAAATGTTTTTCGGCCAAAATTTCGTTTTTTACAAATTTCTGGTGGATTTTTGTACATTATGAACCTTTGGTAACCATTCAAAATTGAATTTGAAACGATGAGTCATTTGGAATGTGATTTTAAAAGATGCAGATTGTTCTAATGGATTGATAGTTAATACTCCACTTACTCTGCATTTGTGCAAGTTGGTGCTAGAGTTTCAGGAATTAAGTGATAGTGACAATTGACAGTGTTATTTAATTATTAGTTTACATTCATATTTGCAAATTTGCAAAGGAACAAAAATAGTAATATCCATTTTGTTCGCATTTGAATGTTGACCAGCATTCAGCTACAAAAGTTACCAAATAAGATTTGTCTTTCTCGCAAAATTGAACAGTCCACTTGTTCAAGAAAGCAGTGATTATCCATGTAATCACAAAACAAACATTCTGAAGCACATCAAGGCATGATTCTTGATAATCTCTCCAACTCCAATGAGTGACCAAGACAGAATTTCTCCCTACAATATCAATACAATATCAAGCAGACAAGTGATGAGAATAAAGAAAAATATCAGTTAAGGGATTATAAGCTGATTCAATACCAAATTATCCAAACTAACATCAAAAGAACTGTATGGGAGAATTATTTATGCAATCTTAGGAGTTAAAGGATTAAAATGACATTGAATGCACTGGGTGAATTGTTTCAATAAAAATGATGATTGGTCGGATAATCAATCTAATGCCGTATAATTGATTTTTTTGTTTCTTTAATCCTTTACACCCTAACATCAGTATGTATATTCTCCATACTGTTCTCTTGATACAAGTAGATGTCCTGAGATGCTAATAAGGAGAATTTGTTTTTTGATCAAGAGCTTACATGTATTAATAGTTGGTGATCATTTCCTTTAGTCTCATAACCATAACCCTTTGAATCCCAAGGATGACCAAGACAGAATTTCTCCTTACAATTTCAATACAATATCAAGCAGACAAGTGACAAGAATAAAGAAAAAATTAATATCAATTAGGGGATTTAATAGGTTGATCCAATACCAAATTCTCCAAACTAACATCAAGAGAAAGAAATGTATGACAGACAGTAACTAGAATTACTAATGAGATCTTGGGAGTTAAAGGTTTAATGTGTGATTTAGGGATGACAGTGTAAGGAGAAATTAGATGCCAGTCACTCTTTGGGGTCAAAGGGTTAATTACCACTGAACTTGTATTCTTGGCTATTATTTAAAAAATTGTGTATCACATTTTGTGTTAACACTAGTGTTTCTGTCAATGTTTTTCAATCATGTAAATTGTACATACTCAAACCTTTACCTTAATACAAATTTTTAATGTAATTTTTGCACTCATTTGATAGGTCTCAACTAGATCCTTTTTCAGATTGAACAACTATTTAAATTTGTAATTCAAAACAACTCTTCGTGAAATTGACAGAAACTTTGTTGTGTGACCACAGGCGTCCCAAGCATTGACTTATTCAATGAGAGCCAGTTTAGAATGCTTAAAAAATGTGGCACGAAATGGGATTGTCTTGTTTATGAAATGTTGTACATAAGAACAATAAGGCCCAATTTAAACACCCAGAGCGATTCCATTAGGGCCAAACTCTTTGTTTAACTTTTAACACTTTGTAATTTATTCACCGCTTCATTATATATATACTCGATTTTATTATTTTAGTTCACTTGATAATGACGTTCTGGAAACGTCGAAACGTCGTGTTATGCTTTATAATATTTTATCGCAGATTTTTATTGTCAAATGCTTTACCAAATCTTTACTTATTTGAATTATAAGGAATTGTAAGGGAAATGAAATATGGTTGATTTACAAAGATAAATAATTTGAACTATGAACATTTAACACAAAATCAATAGAACTTACTGACATCTTGTGTCTGGCAATCTGTGCCATTTTAAGCATGCTTTACTATCACTGTTATTCCTGTTATACCTTTGACTGAGAAAAATGCTGATTGGGAGGATTTTCAGGGTGCAAACTGCCTCTGCATGGACAACAGTTAAAATCCTAGCGTGCAGCCTTGATTTTATCTTATAGATGGATGAAATTTTGTTCCCCATACTATTCCTTATAACATGTTCAAATTCTCAATGGTTCCTCTTGTAACTTAACACCGAGTCACACAATATGTGATACTTTCATTGATTAATTGTTTCCTTTTTCTCAAGACATGAGCTTGGGATGCCTGTGGTGTGACTAATATGTTATTTCATTCAAGTGACAGCCAGTTTTGAGAGTAATATTTTATTAACAAGATAACATTTTATTTTAAAAAACATGGGTTGTCATGACTGTCACAATTTGTTAATGGTTCTGAAATTGAATGCATTGTTGACTTATCAACTGATCTCAGTGTTGTGCAGCTCCTTTCCTGCCCTTTTTTGGTCATGTTTAGGCTGTATCAGGTTGCAAATTTATGTACAAGTTATGCTATTAACATAATATGCAGCATTTGATAGATTTTATTTACAATATTTATGTAACTGTTGGATTTTAGGATCATCACAATACTCACACAGAACTTACTCATGAAAGTATAAAGAAGACAAAAGATCAAGCTATCTTCAGTTACATGGATATATGAAGCTCAGTACATGATGGTATGGAAGAGTATACTAGGAAGAGAATGAAACAGAATCTTACCTGTTTATTCATCTTTCGCATCATTTTCATCAGATGTTGTTGAAACTTTTTCAATATTTGATGTGGCAAACTGTGGGAAAAGAAGTCATTAACAGAAGGAGTGCATCAGAAGGAGTAAATGATCTTTAAAGTGCACATTAAAATTTCACACACCTGCATGATTATTGCTCTTGTGAGTAAATGTAAAGTTTTGTTTGTGTTTTGACTGTCAATGGTAATTGCTTTTCTTGACTGTCTAATTATAGCTGTGATTAATTTAAATTGTAAACTACATGAACTGAAACGTTACCTCTTAATTGCACACCTCCAACATGTGGTCAACAAAGCCTTTCTTTTGTTGTGAGTTCTGTGAAGTACAGGAGATAATTTGTCACTAAAATGATGTGATCCCCCAAGGTTAAATACTTGTAGTTGACAAGACCTACAGAGGAAGCTTGAATTTTGTTCACCCTTTAACTCCCATGATCCAGTGACCAAGACACAGTTTCTCCTTACAATATCAATGCAATACAAAGCAGACAAGTAATGAGAATAAAGACAAATATTGATCAGGGGATAATTAGTTGATCTAATACCAAATTCTCCAAACTAACATCACAAGAACTGTATGGCAGACAGTAAGGAGAATTTCTAATGAGATCTTAGGAGTTTAGGGGTGAAGATCTGTACCACAGGTTGTGAAATGACCTGTTGTGTAGGGGGTAATGAATGAAAAAGATAAATTTTTAAAAGTTTTCAGATAAAGGATAAATGAGACCTTGAAGGGATTTATTTATTTTAAAATATTATATATATGTTTTTCAAGTCAAACTAAAAATTTCTATATTTTTAACTTTAGTTTTGAAGAGAAACTTTTGCAAAATATTGAAATGTGCATGATTTTTTAAACAACAAGGTATTTTTTAACATATTAATTGCTTGGTCAGTGGTAGTATAATGGCTAGTACAATGTCAACGCTAGTGAGTCCTGACATGTTTTTTGTAATTTTGATGCAGTTAGTCAAACTTATATTGTGTAGAAGAAATATTTAAAAGAGAATTCACTTACCTTCTCTCAAGATTCTATGCTGTCTGTGGCATATGGCGTCTAAAATGTTTGAACAGAAATATTTTCACAAACAGTTGATATGGTGAGTATAAGAAGATAAATCACTGATGGACGAATGGATGTTCTGTGTTCTGTGCAAGTAAGGAACTATGAATTAAAATGTATGCTCATTCCGTTAGGATTGATAAGATTTGATCACATTTCATAGGCTGGGTATGGTACATAAATATGTATCAGTCAATTTTTCCCCCTATCACAGCAACTGCCAACCATTTTGAGGATTAGTTTGTTCCTGGGGCCAAAGTATTGTTCAAATTCCTGACTCAAAGTGTTTGATTTAATAGACAATTTTTGTAAAAGGCAAAATCAGTGATTATGACATTCTAGTCATTGACATTTGCTAGGCCAGGAGCATTTTGTGCCAAAAAAAATCGATGTCAACATGTCATACAGTTGCTGTATTTTAAAAATAATACAAGCATTAAAGATTTAAGTTATTGATCATACTAAAAAAAAAAACAATTGATAGTTAGTGCTATTTTTCTGTTTCGCTGTACTGGTGATTTATAGTAAGCATTTTTAATTGATTGATGCAACAACACATGTGATTAGGGTTCATGAGAATGACAAGTAAATTTATTAACAAAATAATGCAGCAATAATTATTTGTGCTAGCAGTAATAAGTGGGTTTTAGCACTTGTGGTTCACATTTTAGGCATAATTAAATGACTTTCCATCTTGACTAATGTTTTAATCATTATATGCTAGAATTTGCAGACTTTTTTATCTGAGTTGCCCCAGGTTGAAAGGGGGGTTTTAAAGGTTTGAATTCATTAGTGCATTACCTCTGTTCCTATCTGCTAGTTGTTTGGTGTTCACTTGTGCTACAACATTGGTAGCAGATTCTGTAAAAAAGTAATAGCACTATCAGTGATAGCAATTCACTGTCAAAAAGATGATTAAGGAACTCAAATAAAACATCAATTACAGCATAATTAATTGATCAAATACAAAATTCTCTGACAAACCAGGATTGCTATTTTCTTGCATATAACTTGTAAC